GACATTCATTGTCATGTACCCATGAATATAGTTTGCTTTCTGTTTCCTGATCATCTGTACACTATTATTTTGCTTCATAGACTATTATGGAACCTTCACAAGGTGTTTTCTCCCCTACAGTTCCAAAAAGGGGGAAAATTAGGAATAGCTAGATTGGGTGGGAACAGCTCCTGGTAAGTAGAATCATGGTGTCAAACTGCAGGAGACGAATGTTATAGGCTTGAAAAGTAGAACGAGGGAAACTGAAATCAGGAAAGTAAACTGCATATTTGTTAGTGAGACAGGTCTAGTTGGCCTTGGTTCAGGTAGGGACACAGGAAAGAGAAGTGTCCACCTGACAAAGGCATGAAGAAAAAGGCTAGCTAGATTGCCAAAACGTCTTTGATCCCTAGCTACAAAATTTTCATTTGAGGAAGTGAGGTAAGAAAACTGACATTTCAGGGCTGGCATTGTGGTGCAGCAAATTGGCCTCCTACTTACAATGCTGGCATGCTGTCTATATCAGAGCTCTGATTCAAGTCCAGGCTGCTCCACTTCCAATCCAGCTCACTGCTAATAACCTGGGAAAGCAGCAGAAGATGGCCCAAGTACTTGAGCCTCTGCCATTTATGTGGGAGACCTGGATTTTTTGGCTCCTGGCTTCAGTTTGCCCCAACCCTGGCTATTGTAATCATTTGAGGAAGCGAACCAGTGGACTGAAGAATCTCTCTCTCTGTGTCTCTCCCTATAATTTTTTTTTTTTTTTTGGAAAGGCAGAGAGGACAGTGAGAGAGAGAGGCAGACAGAAAAGTTTTCCTTTTTCCGTTGGTTCACCCCCCAATGGCCGCTCTGGTGGCACACTGTGGCCAGCGCACCACGCTGATCCGAAGCCAGGAGCCAGGTGCTTCTCCTGGTCTCCCATGAGGGTGCAGGGCCCAAGCACTTGGGCCATCCTCCACTGCATTCCCGGGCCACAGCAGAGAGCTGGACTGGAAGAGGAGTAACCGGGACAGAATCCAGAGCCCCGACCGGGACTAGAACCCGGGGTGCCGGCGCCGCAGGTGGAGGATTAGCCTATTGAGCTGAGGCACTGGCCTCCCTATCACTCTTTCAAATAAAAAATTAATCTTTAAAAAAGAGAAAATAGAGTTCAAAAAGAGATTTCCCAGAACGCACCACGGATGGGAGAAAATGGAAGCAAGGAGAACATTTGGGGAGTCACAGCACTAGTCAAAGCACAAGGTAACAGCAGATGTGGTGAGTCACAGATCAGACAGAACAAGCAGATCAAGAACAGCTGTCTTCCTTGAAGGATTTCCAATAGGTGACTAAGACAGAGGAAAGAAGAAACAGATTAGTCTGGGAAGATAGCTGGATGACATGAGTCCAAGAGTTTTAGATCTGCAAGGGACCCCGTCAGATTCCCTCAGTTCATAAGGACAAAAAAACTACTGCTGCCCAAATACTCAAGATTACTTCTCAGCACTGGCAGCAACAGAATGCCCCGGCCAGGGCTGTTTGATTTACCTACTGTGTGCCTGTTCCTTACAGGTCGTCATTGTCTGAGTCATTGTTTCCAATGATGACAGCAAGTGGACCAGAATATGTGTGGTCATATAACTGCCGCAGGACTAACTGAAAACCGGTCATTTAACTACATGAATCAGTGCAAGTGCTCCCCCAGGACAACAACCGTGATCCTTTAGAGTGTAGCACTGGGCTGGCATTCTGGCACAGCAATTTAAGACATGACTTGGGATGATCGAGTGCTGGCTGTTCCACTTCCTATCCAGGTAGCTGTTGTAGCTGGGGAAGAGAGCTCTCTCTGCCTCTTCTGGTCATTCTGCCTTTCAAGTAAATCTTAAAAAAAAAAAAAAAAGAATGTAGCATCTTCTAGGCAAGGACTTTCTTTTGCTCTTAGCTTAGATTTTCATGGTGTCTCACCCTTAGACAGCTTTGTGGAGTAGAGCCACTAGTTCCATTGTCCTCCTGCCTCTGGATTAGTCATGGATTCATGGATTTTTTTTAATGAAGTTAAGAATAACACCACAGTCTGGTATGTACGCTAAGAAAATAGTTGTAGAAAATGTTGATCCACCTCTTCCACCTTTGTCAAAGCTAGAGGGAGGAACTGTGAAATTCATAGTCATATCTGTCAGATACAATGAGGGGTACAGTTCAAAGGGAGAAATAAATGGGCACAATGCTATAGAGTTGTTATAGGTCATGCTGCTTTTCTGGAAATGACTGCCAGATATAGAAGGTAGAGAGCAGGGAGGCCCACTGAGGAAAGCTATCAGGGCTACTGGAGAGAAACTAACACTCATCCCTGGGACTTCTCCCTCTTATGCCTGTGAGTCTTTTTTGGATTAATTATGTACGTAGAGAGTACACACACATTATAGGAGAGGCTGTCTGCCCTTGTGGTTAAGATGTCCAAATCCTGGATAGGAGTACTAGGGCTCCATACCTAGTTGCAGCTATTCACTCCAGCTTCTGGCCAGTGCAGACAAACTCTGAGAGGCAGCAGGTGATGGCGCACACGGGTGGGTCAGGTCCCTGCCGTCCATGTCAGAGACCTGGATGGAATTTTCTGCTCCAGGTTTCAGCCTGGTCTAGCTGTGGCTGTTTCAGGCATTTGCAGGGTAAACCAGAGAATGGGCTCTGCCTGCCCCTCTTTCGGCCTCTCACGTAAAGAAGATATAAAAACATCAAAAATATGTTAAAAAAAAAAACTCACAAGAAAGGGAACAGATAATTTTGGTGCAAAACATTTTTGAAACCATGCAATTTTTCAAGATATGATTTTCCATGAACTTTCTGAACCCCTATTGTATCTCAAGAGGTCACCAAATCAGCTTATTAGAGAGGCATGGTGGAAAATTCCATTAAAAAGGAGAGAATTTTCCATTAAGAAATAGTCTTCAGGTCGGTGTCGTGTTCTAGTGGGTAAAACCCCTGCCTGCAATGCCAGCCTCCCATATGTACACTGATTTGAGTCTCAGTCGCTCTGCTTCCAATCCAGCTCCTGGCTGATGGTCTGGGAAAGTCGTGGAAGACGGCCCAAGTACTAGGGCCCCTGCACTCATGTGGGAGACTGAAAGGAAGCTCCTGGTTCCGGTCTTGCCCAGTCCCAGCAGTTAAGACCATCTGGGGAATAAACAGAGTATGGAAGAGCTTTCTCCACCTCTCCTTCTCTAATTGCCTTTTTTTTTTTTTTTAAGATTTATTTTATTTTATTTGAAAGTCAGAGTTACACAGAGAAAGAGAGGCAGAGCGAGAGAAAGAGAGAGGTCTTCCATCCACTGGTTCACTCCCAAAATGGCCACAATGGCCGGAGCTGTGCCAATCCGAAGCCAGGAGCCAGAAGCTGCTTCTGGGTCTCCCACGTGGGTGCAGGGGCCCAAAGGATGTGGGCCATCTTCTACTGCTTTCCCAGGCCATAGCAGAGAGCTGGATTGGAAGTGGAGCAGTTGGGACTTGAAAAAACGCCCATTTGGGATGCCAGCACTGCAGGCAGCTGCTTTACCCGCGAGGCCACAGCGCTGTCCCCTCTCTAATTGCCTTTCAAATAAAAACAAAAATAAATCTTTTTAAAAAAGCTTCAGAATATTACTCTCAAGTCACTACAAACGGAGGTTGTGACTTCATTGAAGCCCAATGTTTCAATGAAGCATAGAATCAGTTTCTTTTTACATTTTATCTTGAAATAACCCAAGATGTTGCAAAAATAGTTCTGGTGTACCATTCACCCAGCTTCCCCAAATGTTAATATCTTAAACTACCATAGATCATCATATATGGTGGCATATCACCAGTTAGTTTCTACAGGAACTAAGGAGACAAAGTTTCAAAATGCTCAACAATGCTCAGACAGTAGTAGGAGCTCCTAAGGAAAGTCCAACGCACAGATGGGTCCTGAACAAATGTCATGAAGACTTTATCATGGAAGCTGGAGAGAATGCTTTAAAAAAAAATGAGATGCTTTATGTTTTGCTTTTGTGACATCATTGACAAATATTAAAATTACCATGTATCCAAATTCCCACTACTCTATGGGTCTGTCAACGGACTTCTAATAAAGAAGCCTTAAAAAACACAACAAAGTATTTAACAGAAAGATAATAAAGTTTCGCATCTGGCAGTGGGATGAAGCGAGGACTGGAGCAAACCAAGATGTACTCCTTTATGATTGTGACTTTAACCTCAAAGCAGCTTTGGTAAGTGCGGGCTAACCATCACAGCTCCTGCCCTCCGGTGACCCCGCCCCGGGCATAATCGGATTACCCCGGGAAAGTGCTCGCCCTACAACTATTTTTGGAAAGAAGGGATTTTCCAGATTATTGAGAACCGTGGCGTCACCGGGCGGGAACGAGTAGCGCAGCCGCCCTCCCGGTCTTCGCCCTGCTCCCGCCACCCCTGGGAACCGATAAGGCTTACATTCCGGTCTCCTGAAAACTATCGTGCGGGAAGGCAGCCCTCTCCGGACTCCTGGGGAGCCCCTGTTAATTACAAGTTCGTCCCACAGCCTACACCCCACCCGCCAGCGTCCGCCACGCTCGGCCCGACGCCCGCGCTGTACTCGCCCCACGGCGCCGCGCCTACGCGAGGGATCACGAGCGCGAGGACAGAGCGGGGCTCGCACGTCCCGGACTCATCGCTCATCGCTCCAGCAGCGCGGGGACCACCGTCCACGCTGCCCATCCACTCGGAGGTAGACATCTCGCGAGCCCGCCTCCGCGTTCCCGCGGCTAACTGCATCACATCAGAGCCCGGGGACGCCGCCCGCACCACCCCGCGGGCTTGCCCGCCGCGGCGCAGGCGCAGGCGCAGGCGCGGGCGCGGCCTGGAGGGACTAGTTGGCGGGCGCCGGCCGCGCGTGGTGACGTCAGGGCGGAAGCGCACGCTGCGCGAAGCGGCCCCGACCCGGCGGTCACGGGGATATCCGTCGCGCCGAGGACGCTGGTTAGTCTCGCTTCGGGTTCCGGCTGCGTTGGGCGTGCGTGCAGCTCGCTGAGACTATGGCGTCCGGGCCTCACCCGACCTCGACCGCTGCCGCCGCCGCTGCCGCCGCCTCTTCGGCCGTCCCGAGCGCGGGCGGCTCCAGCTCCGGGACGACGACCACGACGACGACCACCACGGGAGGGATCCTGATCGGCGACCGCCTGTACTCGGAAGTTTCGCTCACCATCGACCACTCGCTGATTCCGGAGGAGAGGCTTTCTCCCACCCCGTCCATGCAGGACGGGCTCGACCTGCCCAGCGAGACGGACTTGCGCATCCTGGGCTGCGAGCTCATCCAGGCCGCCGGCATTCTCCTCCGGCTGCCGCAGGTCAGTGGGCCGGCCGGCCGCGTCTCGCCGCCCCACCGCGTGCCACGGCCGCTGGGCCCCGGCCGGGCGGCGACGGCTCCCTCGGGCCCTGCGGCCTGGGCCCCGGCGGGCGCGGGGGCGGCGGGAGGACCGGGCGGCGGGGGGGGGGGGAGGGGAGGCGAGCGCGGCACAAAATGGCGGCGGCGCCTGGTGCGGGCCCGCCTGACCCCTGCGCTTCCGTTCTCTCCTCTCGTCTGCAGGTGGCGATGGCAACGGGGCAGGTGTTGTTTCATCGTTTTTTCTACTCCAAGTCTTTTGTCAAGCACAGTTTCGAGGTGAGCAGCTCGGAGGCGGGCACAGAGGGATTTCTTCACCCGGAAATGGGGAGGGGGGGGGGGCTAGCGGCGGTAGCCAGCTTTTCCAGAAAGGGAGTGGTTAGCGGAGGCCTTTGTACCGAGTTCGCACTCTCCGGGAAGTGGGAACCTTGCCCAGTGTGTTTCAGAAACTAGAAAATGGATCCTGAGCCCACGTGTCCTCCCGACACAAATTGCGATTTTCAGCCAAATGTAAAACTCCAGGGACGGAGCTTCTGGATCCAGAACTGAAAGGACTGGCGCAGTGAAGGGAGTGTAGTTACTAGTGTAGCTGGGAAGCATGTGTGGGGCCTGGGCGTTTCAGTTGTAAATCCCGAGCGGCCAAAGGCCCCGGCTGGGTTCTGAGATTGCTTCCTTATAAGTTCGATGTTGAGGAGGGGCTCTTGTCCTAACATCGGTGAACAGTTGGGTAGTCTGACCATTGTTTTTGGCCTTGCATGGTTTATTTTCAGATTGTTGCCATGGCTTGTATTAATCTTGCATCCAAAATCGAAGAAGCACCTAGACGGATAAGAGATGTGATTAATGTATTCCACCATCTACGGCAGTTAAGAGGAAAAAGGTAAGATTGGCATTATTGAACATAGTATCTCCTGATACTGCTTTACTGTGCACCAATCATCAAGTCAAAAACACCTTTCTTTCTCAAGTCAATACAGACACAAATGAAAACTGACTTTAATTTAGGTGTCAAAGTTCACATAGGAATACTGATACTTAATTTGGAAAACAATTAACCAGCCATCTAAAGTTTGTAGAGGCAGATTCATTTGTGGACAATCCTAACAGTGCTGTGAAGCCAGTCCCGTGATTTAAGATTAAACAAGAAAGGGAATACGTTTGGCTCAAGTGTGAGTGTATTCTGTAAGTTATTCCCCCCCCAACCACCACCTCTGGAAGACCGAAGGCTGGAAGTTTTAAACCCTGTAGTTCAAGTAAATACTGTGGCAAAGTTCTGTGTAGGTTGTTTTTCTACTCGAAGTTCCAGTTAATTCTTTATCAATTGAGGTTGGCTTTTGTTAGAGTACTTCTCAACATTGAACTACGATAAATCGCATAATACCGGATCTGAAAGGACTGCAGGATGATAAAGTTTGAAGTTTGAAGTCAAAGGGATTAAACAGGTATTTTGTTTTGGTCAGATACAGTCTCAGTGAGTGGGTTAGAAAAGTGATTGGCTTTAGATTGGGTTGCATTTAGATAAGGCCTTATTTGTTCTTGAAAGAAGTTAGAGTCTGAAGTAGTATCTAGGTGTTGTGACAGTGTGATAAGTTTATGAGAACCTGCGTGTTCATGTGAAGCGCTCCCAGAGAGTTTTGTTGCAGAATTTCCTGGATTGATGGAGGACTTCTAAATTATGCTGTAGAAGGGTATATTTGGTGTAGTTAGTTTTGTGTTCACGTTTTAAGGAATTGTGATGGTAGACAAGCTTGGATTGAGTTTGAGCTTGTAAGTTGTTTTGGGAGTTGGATGTTGGTTAGTGCCAAATCAGCATCCTGTACAAGTAGTGTTTATTGGCTGAATCTGATAGGCAGTAATGAAAGTTGAGACAACAAGCAAATACAAAAGTAACTTTAAATTTAGTGTAGCCAAGAAGTCTGAAGCACTTATGTCCAGATACTTAGTTTTTTTACACTTTCCTTTCTCCTCCATCTTATTTACCCTGTCTGGAAATAAGTTTTTAGTTCCTTGGTGAGGAATCCCTAAATAATGGAAGATTTCAACTTGTGGTTAAGTATATTCTGAGCTTAAATTTGTGTTTAGATACTGGCTGATTTCCTTAGTGTGTTAAAAACAATGAAACTAATTCACACCTCCTCTTTAGTCAAAGGGTTGTTTGCTTAAGGGAATAGTTTTCTGGTAGTATTCTTTGAACCATTGAGCCAACTAGTAGGCAATCGCATATGATGGTCTACTTAGAAATTTTCTTGTGAGTTTCTTGATGTCAGAGTAGATCTTCTTAACCGTAAAAACCCTGGAATTAAAGTAATCCCCACCTGATTGACTGTTGTGTCTGATGTAACTGGGTTTTTTGGTCATTACTGAGAAATTGATTTTGTTTCAATCTTAGAAGTCTGATTATAGCATGAAATTTAAAGGAGTTAATTGCATGGAAGCCTTTTTTTAAAAAAAAAACAGGATGTAAAAGTGTTTCTATGCATATTACAAGTTTACTCAGACACGTAACTTGTATATGTTATTAACTTCAACTCTTTTTTCCCTTGCAACCGACTATACAGCGACCAGCTACATTTACCAAAGCCTGGGTGATGTGGAGTGGTACATAGAGATGAAGCTGTCGTCATGGCAACAGTGAGTGAAGTATCGAAAATCCCCAAGGAGAAGCCAGTGCTCTGAGAATAGGTCACTGGAATCGGGGACTAACAGGTTGGCCACTGGTGAACCATTTAGAAAAACTCCTGTTTCTTGTTATAAGCTTTTGTCTTTGCTGTCCAAGTTATTAGAACTGTAGCTTAGTGATTTTTTTAATTTTTGCACAGATTAATGTCATTAGAAAGTACTGTCACTATCACACTTGAGGTAAAGCCTATCAATTTGTTGTGATTTAATCTAGTTTATGTGCAACTTTATACTGTGACCTTGACAATGACAGAAGAAATGTCATTCATGTAACCTTTAGGTGACTGGTTTTCAGTCCTAGCTACAGAATCACAGGGGAGCTTTAAAAAGAACCTCCTCCCCTTTCAGTTTTTTGTGCTTTGATTATAAGTTCAGAGTTAATGGCTGAATTTAAAGGAAAGGATGCTATTTTAAAATAATTTGCTTTTGATAATGTAGCATGTTTCTCATTAGTAGGGTTTTTCCAGTAGTTTCAAAGAGATAATTTAATGCTTTTAAAGGCTGGTTTAATCACTGTCATTGAATATTTGTGCTGTGCTATTTTCACTGTATCTGTAATGGTAGAAGTTGGAGGAGTCTTAAGTGATACCATTTAGTCGATGAACTTCTGCAGTTTTGTCTGCGACTCTCTAGAGGGCCTTCTGTTTATTTAGATACCTAAAGAAAGGGTGTCCCTACTGTGAAGTAGCTGGGCTTCACGAATTTCCATGTATGAAGTAGCAGTTTGCTTCCTTAAACTAGACATGTCATTTCAGTATAGTCTTGATAACTACCTTTACATGAGACTAACCATGTTTGGACCTCTTAACCTTATGGTTCTGTTGAGTTGTCTTTCAGTTAATCATGTTAAAGAAAAAAAAGCTATTCTTAAGAGATCAGGTGATAATTTTTCTAGGTACTGTAGATCTCATAAAACTTGAAAATTAATCAGAAAATTTAGATTAGAAACTGAGGGGAGGGTCTTTAAGTTCAATAATGGGTTTTTCAGTTTTTCTGAATAGATGAAGCTTTTTTTTTTTTTTTTTTTTTTTTTTTTTTTTTTTTTTTTTTTTGAGGTTTTAGAATACCTTTGTCCACAAACTTTATTGGCAAGGGAAGTTTGTGAAGGAAATTAAATTTTGCAAGGCTTATTTTAGTTTGATCTGAGTGTTGCCACAGAAAGTACTAATTGATACTTTGTACATATAAAGAAGTCACTTGTTCTTTTTCTGAACCTTTGCTTCCTACTGATCTGTGCTACATTTTTCCACTTCTGATACAAAATAACTGATCTCCAAGAGGCAGTTGTAAGTTACATGTTCCTTAAGAGTTCCTTGATTTGTGTGTTAAGTGATTCTGAAGAAAATGAGGTGTCAAGTTCTGCATCTATAAAGTTAACTTTGAAAACTGCAATTAATAGCAGGACTAAGCAAGAAGTTGGATGTGTGGATTTTGTATCGTTATTTTGATGCAAAAAAGATTATGGCAGAATAGGTCCAAAATAATTTATTTTGGAATTACTTGGTGTTTAGGGTTTCTTTTGGACCAGATAGTTTTCCTAGTCATGTAAACATTCTAAAGTGATTAGATCATTAATTGCAAGTGGATTTTATTGCCAAGGATTTTCTTAGTAAGAAAAAAACATCAGGGGTGGAAGATGAGACAACTTCACTTTCATAAAATTATTTTCATAGGGATTTTAACGGTGCATTTTACTGTCTGGATTGTAGGGGATTAAGAGTTTAGTGGGGTGTAGCTATAACACCAGAGCTGTTTTATCTCTAAATACCAGTTGGAGACCCATCAAACAACCAACCTGTCATCAGAGTCTAAGGTGGATTTGACTTTTCCAAACATCCTGCGACAGTGGTTAAACCTTAAAAATTATAAACCTTAGATGCCTTGTAATATGTTTATATATGCACATATGCGTATGCATGTATAAAATGTTAAATTTGAAGTTTTTTTTTCCCCAAAGAGCAAGTGTAGCATACAGTGCTGATAAAATGGGTTCATTGTCTTTAATGCTAAAAGGCAGCCCATTTTCCCAGTTTGTAGCCTCAACACATTTTGTAACTGTACAGGATTGAACTGAGTAAAACTCAATTTTTCAACATGTTAATTTAAGTAATAGCTATTTTGCTGCTTTGTCAGCTCAGCTAGCTTCTGTGGGGGTGTAATTTGGTAAACATACAGAATCATTAGAATTAGTTTAGTGAGCATTCCAGTTTTCATTATGACTTTAAATGGAAGAAAACAAGGAAAATACGTGATGGCTCCCTTTTTACTGATACTGTGTTACCCCAAGGGTATTGTTGCACATTTCAGATTATTGTCTCACCTTCGAGTTTATGTGGTTTTTCTGGAGCTCATGTACATTTGATTGAATATTTCAGAATGACTATCTTTAAAATAGATGGTGTGTTCCACCCAGAGTGAAAACTCTTAAGGCTTTGGACTGAGAATGAATTGAGTATGGGGCAAAATATTTATTCTCCCATGTACTTGCCATATAATCAGTGTCGTAATAGAAATGAAGTTTTTGTTGGGTGGCTTTAAGAATGTATCAGAGGACATGGGTAAATGTCATAAACTTCTTTCTGAAGAAAGTGAGAAAGGCCAGTTCCTTAAAACTTGACTGATTGAAAGCTTAGGAAGAAACCACTTTGAATTATAAGACTTAAGAGTGTATGGTAGGTCCCGCCAACCAGACATCAAAAACAAAACGCTTCAGGTTGGCATCATTTCCAAGTACTGTTTTCAAAACATTGAACCCTCACATACAGGCAGTCCTAGGTATCGTAGAAACCTGAACATGAAATTCAGTCATCTGATGGAGACCTTGAATGTGTCCTTCTGGTTCCCTCTACTTCTCTTCTCTTGCATTGCATACTAAAACATTGCCTAGTGTCTGCAGCTCTGACTACCCTTAGGCCTGGGTCACATAGGTGACACCCGGTTCTGAATCTGACTTCACATTTATATTTTGGGTGATTAAGGTGAATCTTATAGTTTTCAGTTTATTTTCTTGAAACAGTGGTAGGTTCTTAGAACAGTTTGTTTAAACAGATTTCTCCCTTGGGGAAACTGAACTAGCTACCCACTAGTTTCTTTAATTTTAATGTTAGCTATGAAGTGGGTAATTTTATAGAACGAGTGCATTATAGTCTTAGAACTTTCTCTAGTGTTAAGTCTTGTCAGAAGCACTTTTTGTCAGTGGAAAGTCTCTGGAGACCTAAGAGGTTTGTGATAATAGTACATCTTACTATTAGTAAATAGATAAATATATATATTCCTAAAGTCAAAAAGTTAATAAACCTAAGAGCATTTGAGTGAGCTTTTTTTATGACAGTTGAGTTAGTTTCTTCGAGGAGGTAGCCTAGATGTATGTATTTGATTAGCATAACTTGGACAGCACAAGATTAATGCTTTAACTTGTTTGCAGGAGTTTAAAAAGCTGGTTTCTGTTGCCAATAGTTGGTTGGAAGGGAAAATGGAGATGCCACAAATAAATCTTTTTGGATGTGCAAAACAGTTTTGATTTTATTTCTTACAAACTATAGGACTCCAAGCCCCCTGATCCTTGATCAGAACTACATTAACACCAAAAATCAAGTTATCAAGGCAGAGAGGAGGGTGCTAAAGGAGTTGGGATTTTGTGTTCATGTCAAGCATCCCCATAAGGTGAGTTGTAGAGTACAGAAATTACATTTCGTAAGTATTAGCTTTTCTTTAAAAAAAAAAAAATGTAAGCGAGTCTTTATCGGAGTGTTACTGGTTTTAAAAAGCCTTCTTTTGGATATTGAGATTTGTCAGTAAACTGGGAGCCAAAAAAGATACAGGTTGAAATCTTCACTTTAATTATATAACCATAGATAATTTTTTTAAGGATTTTATTTATTTGAAAGGCAGAGTTACAGAGAGCCTCAGTAGTCAGAGCTGGGCCGAACTGAAGCCAAGAGCTTCTTCTGGGTCTCCCACATGGGTACAGGGGGACGCAAGCACTTGGGCCATCTTCTACTGCTTTCCCAGGCCAGAGCAGAGAGCTGTATTGGAAGTAGAGCAGCCAGGACGCAACCCGGTGCCTATATGGACTGTTGGCACTACAGGTGGCTGCTTTAACGGCTAAGCCACAGTACCAGCCCTGATAATTTCTTCTATGGTTAAGTCTCAGTTTTTCCATCTAGAAAATGGACGGTACAATACCTGAGGAATAAAAAGTCTTGCTACAGAAGAACCCAGCACACTGCTTGTCACACAGTGAAATGTTTGGAGCCTGGTGGCTACTCATTGTTAACATTATTGAAAGTTTGTAGGTTTTTTCTTAGCGTCTCTTTCTTACCTATGAAAGTAGTTGCACAGTGGTTGTGAACGGGTGCTGGGGTCAGGACTTTGGCATAGAAGCTTGGCTCTGTCTTTAGCTATGTAACCTTAGCAGGTGTCCCTTAGTTTTTGTTTTTCTAAATGAAAATGGGAATAATGATGGTAATACAGGTATAGAAACACCTAATATAAAGTGAGGCAAAGCTCTTCACATGTAGTTTTTACTCATCATATTGTGTTGAGCTTCACTGGGAGAATACTGGTGTTTGATTAGTGTAATACTCATAACAGCATTACACAGTATTGTAGCCACTGTGTCACTTTTCCAAAGCAGAATTCGTGGTTTTGGAACATGGTAAGGTGGACCTTGGGAAATTAGATGAAGTAATGGGCACAGTGCTTATCATATATAGTAAGGTGCTCTTGATAAAATATTTTTAATTGAGTTGACTAACCAGTTTTTTTCCCAGTATAATTGGGACATAGGTCTAAGCATAGTTTTTATAAAATCTAGTAACTAGTATATTAACCCATATTTAATCTCAGGTACACTTTAGGCTAGTCTGTGTTTATAACAATGCAGTTTATAGACAGAACTTGAATCTAACATTTCCTGTGACTTATTGATTGAATTCTGTACTCTGGAAAAAAAAACTAATATGCTAAATTGAGTTTTTTTTCCCTTGTTCTTCAGATCATTGTTATGTATTTACAAGTCTTAGAATGTGAACGTAACCAAACCCTGGTTCAAACTGCCTGGTAAGTTGCTTTTTTACATTTCTTTCCTAGCCAGGAAAACAGAAGCAGAAATAAAGTAAGTTTCATTTTCCCTTTCCAAAATAATGAGATAGTTTGTTTTGGGGCTTTTTGTTTTTTTATTTTTTAACTAAAAGGTAAATAATGCTTATTTCTGCTTCCTGTTTTCTTGGCTTGACTAATTATTTTTAATGGAGAACTCAATTTAACTTTGTTCTTTTTTCTACTCTTTAATTAAAGGGTAGTCCATGATGGTAAGTCATAGAACTCTGCCCTCTGCACTTCAGCCCATGACCTCAGGATGGCCTGATTGGCTGCCCTGCTCTCCAGCCAATCCAGTGCAAGCTCTCATCCGAGATTCACTGAAGTGGTCCATATCCATCTGGCAGCATCTTCTAGTTCTGTCGGGGTGTCAAAAGGATTTGTATATTTGCTTCTAGAAGTAACTATTCAACATGCCTATGTATTTAATGTATACCTGTAACTATCAAAATGAGTAGTTCATTTTTGATAGATTTGTTGTCCAGCCATTATGAATTACATGGTTTTTTTTATTAGAAGTTTGACTAAACTTATATTTATAGTGTGTATAGTGTGAATTCTACCAAAGGAGGCTACAACCTGCAACTTAGAATGAGCACCAGTTCCTATATTGGGTTAATTTATAGCTGATAATATTAGAATTAAAACGTACTTCATTTTTAATAGACTTTAGAATTGCTTAAACTCCAGATCCAACAAGGAGTTTGTGGCTTAGCCACAACTACTATTTCATAGAACTGTTGATGTGTGTAGGACAATGTTCTAGATTTTTCCATCAAGATAGCCTTTTTTATGGCAGCCATGCTTTTGGACTAAGTTAATATTAGTAAAGTTTCACTGCTTTTATAAAATGCATGACATTTTCAATATGTATTCTCTAAAACAGATTTTAGCAATTTCTATGGGTGTAAGGATTTTTAAGTAATCCATTTAATTATAGTTTAAGCTTTTCAGCGATTTGTAAAATTTCTTTAATTTGGGGTTATTGTGGGGAGGGTTCACTAATAAATAGTCTGTTGCTTTTACTTAGTCAAATAAGGTTTGTAAACAAGGCCATTATATATTGCTCTTCGCTTCCCTACCTAGATTCTCTTATGTAGCTTAGTTTTCTTTAATATAATTTGGTGGGTGCTTACTATTGAAAATGCCTCTGTACCCCTGTCACAGTATTTTGAGTTTTTGAAAGAACTTGATTGACACTGCTTTTCATTGTGGATAAAGGAGAGATGGTCACTAATTAATGGCTTGAAGAACTGTTGGAGTGGTTTATCATTTATGAAACTAGTCATGTTGGAATTGACTTTCAGAACATTGCTTTTTACAGAATTACATGTTTTAAAAAAAACTTCAGGGGTAAGTTCTATTTGGAAAGTTATATGGAATTATATGAAAGTTTTGCTCATATTTAGGAAAATTTGAACGATCCTAGTGTTAAATTCTTATTTTGATTTTTCTTTTAAAGTTTATTGTTATGCTAGAATGAGGATGTGAATACAAGAGAAGAAAAAAGAATAAAGTAGATTGAGTCTCCAATTTTATGTAAGGTTTGGAAGAATGTATTTGTTTACATAAAAAGCTTATAGTTGACATATCTTTCAGGAATTATATGAATGACAGTCTTCGAACCAATGTTTTTGTTCGATTTCAACCAGAGACTATAGCATGTGCATGCATCTACCTTGCAGCTAGAGCACTTCAGGTAAGTGTAGATAGCCTATTTAGTTCTATAGGACAAATCACAGGTATTATCAGTGGTTCCAATAAAAACCAGGGAAAACTCAAAGCATTCTATTTTTGTGGTTTAGATTCCACTGCCAACTCGTCCCCATTGGTTTCTTCTTTTTGGTACTACGGAAGAGGAGATCCAAGAAATTTGCATAGAAACGCTTCGGCTTTATACCAGAAAAAAGGTAATTTCTGTTTGCTCAAGTTTGTGCTGATAGCCTTGGTGCCAAGAATCTAAATTACTGCAGAGGAGAAATAATAATTCATTGTCCTCCAACAGCCAAACTATGAATTGTTGGAAAAAGAAGTTGAAAAAAGAAAAGTAGCTTTACAAGAAGCCAAACTGAAAGCAAAAGGATTAAACCCTGATGGAACTCCAGCCCTTTCAACCCTTGGTGGATTTTCTCCAGCTTCTAAACCATGTAAGATACATTGGGACTTAATGAATTGGGGACAATGAAAGTTTTAGCATTTATGTATAGAAGTAAACATGTCACTCTCGTTGTCTTTTAAGCATCCCCAAGAGAAATAAAAGCTGAAGAAAAGTCACCAATTTCTGTTAATGTGAAGACAGTCAAAAAAGAACCTGAGGATAGACAACAGGCTTCCAAAAGCCCTTACAATGGGTGAGTGTATGTAGATTAGAAAACTAGCCTGAAGAATCTTGTGCATACTTTGTAACACTGAAGAATATAACTGAAATATTTATTTATTTTTTTGAAGGGTAAGAAAAGACAGCAAAAGAAGTAGAAATAGCAGAAGTGCAAGTCGATCAAGGTCAAGAACACGATCACGGTCTAGATCGCACACTCCACGAAGACAGTAAGTCAATGTTTTCTTAGGAAAAGCAGTTCTTAAAAGCAGGTTGCATCAGCGATCTCTTAGTCTAGAATTGGATTTGAAATGATCTTGTGAGGCCGAGGGGGGTAGGGTGATGTGTACTTTCTGTTTTATGGTATTTTACCTTAATGGCATTTTAATTTCTCATGTTTGTTGAAGAAATAAGGGCTGCCCACAAAATGCTATGGAATTACCTTGTTTATATTGTAAAAACATTGCCTTTCTGTTCCGTTTCAGATAGGAAGTTTCTTATAAGTAACCAATAATCAAGTTAACCATAGCTGAAGAATCAGTAGTTAGCTTTTGTAATTACGTCGCTAGGTCCTGTGGCTCTTCCTCTTCAGGGGTTCTTTTGAGCATGTGAGAATCAGTAAAAAGACTAGTTCTTTGCAATTATTATTTCCCTCCTTGGAATATAGACATTGGATACATTTGTTTAAGATTCTCTATTTTAGGCTTGGGTGGGAGAAGTGAGGGGTGGGGAGGTTTAGAAAAATTACCATTTTGGCTTGTAACTAATGGAGTTGGTAGTTTTGTTTAGAATCTTTTAGAAGCAGCCATCAATATAATATGTTGCCCATAGAGACTGAATCTAAACCTCCAATTTTTATTATCTAAGTTACAATAATAGGCGGAGTCGATCTGGAACATACAGCTCGAGATCAAGAAGCAGGTCCCGCAGTCACAGTGAAAGCCCTCGAAGACATCATAATCATGGTTCTCCTCACCTTAAGGCCAAGCATACCAGAGATGATTTAAAAAGTTCAAATAGACATGGTCACAAAAGGAAAAAATCTCGTTCTCGATCTCAGAGCAAGTCTCGGGATCACTCAGATGCTGCCAAGAAACACAGGCATGAAAGGGGACATCATAGGGACAGGCGGGAAAGGTCTCGCTCCTTTGAGAGATCTCATAAAGGCAAGCACCATGGTAGCAGTCGCTCAGGACATGGCAGGCACAGGCGTTGACTTTTGCTTCCTTTGAGCCTGCATCAGTTCCTGGCTTTGGCTATCTACAGCGTGATGTATGGACTCATCATTAAAAGCAAACCAATTAGGATTTGATTTTTTTTAAAACTCTCTAGGTCTCTAGAAACACTGAGGACATTTCTTTTGGAAAGAACTATGTTAAATTTTTTTGCACATTAAAATGCCCTAGCAGTATCTAAATTGAAAACCATGGTCAGGTTCAATTGTACTTTATTATAGTTGTGTATTGTTTATTGCTACAAGAACTGGAGCGTGAATTCTGTAAAAATGTATCTTATTTTTATACAGATAAAATTGCAGACACTGTTCTATTTAAGTGGTTATTTGTTTAAATGATGGTGAATACTTTCTTAACACTGGTTTGTCTGCATGTGTAAAGATTTTTACAAGGAAATAAAATACAAATCTTGTTTTTCTAAACTGCTTCAAATATCTTATTTAAATAAATTATTAAAAAGCAAAAGTTTAATAGTAAAATTGGCTGTCCTGATTTTCTGATGAACTTTTCTGTACTCCATTAGATGTAGTTTGAGATGATTAAAATGTGATTTTTATCTGTATTGTGAGCTATTTGTAAGTCTTCACTGTGTTTATGGATGAAGCAAATGGCAGTGGCCCAGCAATATAATGTTAAATGCTACAACACTGAAGTACTGTTTCCAAAGGGAAGTGTCCTGAACAGATTTATGCACTGTGACAGGAAGAGACAGATCTTCCATCTGCTGATTGACTCCCCAGATTATCAAAATGACCCTAGGCCAGGCTGAAGCCAGGAGCCTAGAAGTACATCCACGTCTCCCAAGTACTTGGGCTGTCATCCACTGCTTTCCCAGGTGCATTAGCAGAGAATTGTATCAGAAGTGAAGTAGCCAGGACTTGAACTGGCACTCCAGTATGGGATGTGGCTATCCCAAGTGGTATCAAGGAAATGAAAAAACTGGTATCCAGTGAAGACAAGGGTACTTCAGAATTAAAGGATTGTTGCAAGAAGTTTCCATAATATACATTTTGTATGAACCTCTTAAAAGATTTCTTATGCATGAATTTCAGAGTACTTTTAATTCTACTTTTTATTGAACTGTCTGAATTACATTGTATTTTTCAAGTTACATTGAAAGGATTTTCCCAATATATTAGAAGTGAGTTGAGATCTTCAAAGTTAAAAAAAAATATTTTTAGAATTAAAAGAATTAAATTTTCTTTACCCACTCTCATTACTTACCTTGTCCACTAGACTTGGCTCTACATGATTTGCTGCTGTTTCCAAAAAATTCAAATACACACACACAAGGAGGTTTACTGCCACTAAGGATGTTTAAAAAAAGTTACAGCTTCGGAAGAGGATGCCAAAGATGACTTCCAGATGTGTTCCTCACTGGCAGGCAGTGGTGCTGGTAGGATAGCTTCACAAGGCGACCACTCTGAAGCAAACGATTCATTTGGATGTAAAAGTCTGGTATGTTACTTAAATCAGTTATATTTCTATGAAAACTAACATGACGTAGCATGTGTTAGCAACTCAGGCGAACTTGAAAGAACAGTTCATTAAGAGTGCTCTATACTTCATGTTGCTGAGCTGTGAGAACTTTAGCTGCCTCAATATGAAACATTTCTCTCTTACTGAAGGAAGGCAAGTGTCAGCAAAGTCCATGGTAATTAAGAATCCTTGCTTGGAAGTAGGAGCATTGTGATTGAAGATTGTGAAGAGGAGTTGGCAGAGGGTACACCTGCATGTGGAATGCAATTGTTTTTTCCAAGTGGGCTTTGCACATGAGATAAGGATGTGTTTACTAATTGTTCATTGTGTTCCTGACTTTAACTTCAGAGCAGCCTAAGGTTAAACTTACACTGTTCTACTTCTAGAAGCATAAAATAGAGATTGTATTTTGAATATATATATACTATGAGTTTTCAGCTAATGTAGGAAATTTCAAACACGGAAGTAGAGTACCTGTCTCAGCTCCATGGGCAGTGAGCTTTGTGTATACCCAACAAATTCATCATTGAGTCACACATTTCATCTTTATCTCAGTCTAAAACATACAACTTTCATAAGTATTAAATACCATCTTAACATCCAGATTGCCCTTTCTATTTCTGATCATTTTTACAATTGGCTTCAAACAAGGTGCATATGCATTGCACTGGCTTTAACCACAGATGTCATCTTTTTTACTTGGAATTTATTTGGAGAAACTGCTCATGTCCTAAGGAGTTTCCACATTCTAGGTCTGTTCACTGTAACCCTATGCTGTCAGGACATTTTCTATTTCCTGTAAGTTGGTAGGTCTTGAGACTTGATCAGATTCAGCTTTGATGGCTTAGCCTTTTTTTTGAGGAGAGTGGTGTCTGCAATTCAGAAATCTGGAAATTGAAGCTGAGTATCATTCTAGACTGGTACTGGATTGCTGTCTTCACTTGTATTTTATAGTATTCCCAATTCTGAATTATTGGTGCTGGTATCTCAGCAGCGTCGTTTCCTATGTTTTCCATGTCTCATCTTTTTCCTCTACTGTCATGAATCTTGTAAATGCAAAAAGTTGTTCTAATGATCTTGAAAAATTTGAAAGGCAAAGAGATCCCATTTGCTTGTTTACTCCCCAAATGTCTGCAACACCTGGGCCTGGGTCAGGCCAAGACCAGGAGCCTGGAACTCAGTCTCATTTCCTATGTGGGTAGCAGGGGCTCAAGTACTCAAAACATCACATTGTGCCTCCCAGGGTGCACAGTAGTAGCAGGAGGCTGGATTGGAAGCATAGCTGTGACTCCAACTCAGTGAATCTAATAAGGGATGCAGGCATACCAAGCAGCAACTTAATCCCTGTACCAAACACCTGCCCCAATTCTGATTTTTAATACAAGTCCATTAATGTTGCAGAACATGATTTTTAGAAAAATTTATCTAAAAGACAAAGTTAGAGACAAATCTTCCATCAGCTGGTTCACTCCCCAGATATCTGCAATGGCCAAGGTATGGCCAGGTGGAAGCCAGGAGCCTTAGAACTGCCCTCTGGGTCTCCCGCATAGGTGCAAGGGCCTCAAGCACTTGAGCCATCTCCTGCTTTCCCAGGCACTAGCACGGAGCTGCATGCCATAACACCAGTCCCTAATAAGTTCTAAGCTGTGCTTTAATAGCTTTAAATATTATCACCATTGCCATCAGTTATTAACACCACAGTTTGCATCAGAAGTCTTTATTAGAAATTTAGTTTTCATGAAAGTTTGCAAAAATGAGAAAATTTCACAATATTCATTTGTCCTAAGAGCCATATCCTTACTCAGCATGAGTTGTAATAGATTAATTATAAAGGATTTTTAAATTGAAAAAAAGTTTTTTCATTTCATTTGAAAGGCAGACGAGATCTTCCATCTGCTGGCTCACTCCCCAAATGCCTGCAACTGACAGGCGAAGCCCAGGAACCTGGAACTCAGTCCTGGTTTCCCACATGGATGGCGGAGACTCAGGTACTTAAGCTATCAGCTGCTGCTTCCCAAGGTGTGCATAGTAGGAAGCAGGAAGTGGAAACAGAAGGTAGGACTAGAACCCAGGCAGTCCACAAGATGTGGGCATCATGCCTGCTGTGCCAAACACTGGCCCCGTGTGATATTGTTAAGGCCAGTTTTTAAAAAATGGAACTTGAAGTGTAGGAATAGTGAGGGGCTTAGTTTAGCTGGAGAGATGGAGAATGTACATGGGATTTAATCAGGAAAACCACTACTCCATTTGAAAACTGGGAGCAGTATTCATGTGTGCACATTGAGCCCCTTATATCTGGAAGCCACATCTTGACATTAAACATTTGAACTTTGTCCATCAGGGAAATGGAAAGAACATGGGCTTCTATGTCAGCTCTGCATTCAGATCATTATGTGACTTTGCAAGGTATTTAACCTCTTGCTACAAACCGGCCCTTAAAATGGCATTTTGTAGGTTGTGTATGGAGCATGTGGGAGGGATTTCTATTTTTAACTGTTTGCCACCCAAAAAGAGTTCATATTAGAAGCACCTAACTACTCAGAGAAGTTTGAACTTTCCATTTCTTAGGAACATAATTCAAGAGATGCCATGGGGCAGGTGTTTACATAGTCTAGTGGTTAAGACTTGGTAGCCCCGCCGGTGCCGCTGCTCACTAGGCTAATCCTCCGCCTAACGGCGCCGGCACACCGGGTTCTAGTCCCGGTTGGGGCGCCGGATTCTGTCCCGGTTGCCCCTCTTCCAGGCCAGCTCTCTGCTGTGGCCAGGGAGTGCAGTGGAGGATGGCCCAAGTCCTTGGGCCCTGCATCCCATGGGAGACCAGGATAAGTACCTGGCTTCTGCCATCAGATCAGCGCGTTGTGCTGCGCTGGCCGCGGTGGCCATTGGAGGGTGAACCAACGGCAAAGGAAGACCTTTCTGTCTCTCTCTCTCCACTCTGCCTGTCAAAAAAAACACAAAAAACAAACAAACAAAAAAAAACAAAAAAACCTGGGTAGCCTTGTGTCCCCATATCAGAGTGCCTGGTTCAAACCTTGGCTCTTGCTGATTCCAGCTTCCTGCTAATTCAGACCCTGGGAGGCAGCACAGCAGTGATGGTTCAAATAATTGGGGTCCTGCCACCGACTCAGAAGACCTCGATTGTGTTCCCAGCTCCCCGCTTTTGCCCCAGCTTCAGCTGTTGAGGGCATCTGGGGAGGGAACCGGCAGATGAATACTTTGTATCTCTGTGCCTCTAAAATAAATTTTTTTTTGGAAAAAATATGTTTCAAGATGCTAGTTGATTGAGATCTGATTTTGCACAATACAAGGCTTTCACAATTAAAAAATGAAAATACTGCTTGAGATTTTGGGTTCTCAGTGTCCCTTTGGACTTTCTGCTTTTCTCACCTATGTGTAGTATAATTCCAACCCAGTGCTAAGTACACAGGAAATTCCTACCCTGCCTACTTGTACACCTACTGAAATCCCCTTAGATCCACTGTCACCTTTCTAGTATGGGTAGTGGCATTTCTTCCTCCCTACCCCTCCCCCCTTTCTTTTTCTTTCTTTCTTTTCTTCTTTTAAAGATTTATTCACTATAGAGAGGTCTTCCAGCGGCTGCTTTCACTCCCAAATGGCCACAATAGTTGGGCTGAGCTGAAGCCAGGAGCCAGGAGCTTCTTCGGGTCTCCCACAGGGGTGCAGGGGCCCAAGCAGTTGGGCCATCTTCTACTGCTTTCCCAGGCCATAAACAGAGAGCTGGATGGGATGGGAAGAGGAGCAGCTAGGACATGAACTGGCGCACATATGGGATGCCAGCACTGCAGGCAGAGGCTTAGCCTACTGCGCCACAGTGCTGGGCCAGGCATTTCTTTCTAGACTCCTTTGCCACAATCTGTTCTTCAAAGTAGCTAAAATGATCTATTTAGAATGTCACCACCTGTTACTATAATACATAATGCCTCCAATGGTTTCCCATTTAACTTTGCATAAAACACAGCACTTCCAGTCACTCCCATCGGTTCCACGTTTTCTCACTCATGCACATCGGTCTCTGAGCCTTTGCACTCGCAGGCCTCCCTGCTTAGAATGCTCTTCTCCCAGGTTTCACGTGATAGGCCCCCACTCCGAAGTCCTGCCTCCAGTGGGGGCTTTCACCACCCTGTCTAAAATAAGTTCCTCTAGACTCCCCTGTCACACCCGTCGGCCCACACTGGCTTTTTCCTAAGGCTTACCCACCAACAAGCTGTTTTACTAAGACAGTGGCAGGGATGGGGCTTCCTCCTTACTGTATGCCCCTCACCTAATCTTGAAGTATCAGACCCACGTTGGAGTATGTACTGAACACTACCTGAGGGATGAATGAATGCCATATCCTGCCATGCCCTGACACTTCTAAGCCATCACTGTTACTTGTGCTTTCCTGTTTCAAAATCTGATATGTGTTCCTTCTGTAAGTGAATTTATTCATTTTGCAAAAGTAAGAATGGGTTCCAAGAGCTCATGGTCTAGAGCCCAGGGAAGCAGACCCATGGGCCTTGGGTCAAATCCAGGCCTATGCATGGTTTACATGTATCATGTTTCTTTTCAGTGAATCACTGGCTGACTTTTTTTTTTTTTTGTAACTTAATACAACTTAAATTCATTCTGTAGCTGACATTTTTAATTGGAGACAGTCACATTAAAAGCCTAGACTTGAAGCTGCTGTTTACAGAGACCCACAGTCCCTCAAGGCAGCAGCGGTGGACGGGCGCCAGGTGACCCTCTGAGAAAGGTGTCCGTGCCCCTGTGCTGGATGACCGGTCACCCTGCTGCCTGCAGTCACTGCAGCCAGGTGTCAGTGTGGAGCCTGCCTGGAATCCTGCTCCTTTCATTTCCTGATCTTGGCAAAAGTCTCAAGACCTGTGACCCTGTCACTGTACAGGCTGCTGAGTCAACTGAAAATCAGATCGATTCCTGTGTCCAGCACCTCTCCAATGTGTTTGAACCTTTCCAAATTTTTAAAAGGTTTATCTTACTTACCTGAAATGCAGAGTTACCGGGAGAGAGAGACAAAAAAGAGAGGTCTTATTATATCCGCTGAATCATTCCCCAAATGGCCACAATGGCCGGGGCTGAGCCAGACCAAAGCCAAGAACTGGGTATCCCGTGTGGGTGCAGGGGCCCAAGCACTTGGACCGTCTTCCACTGCTTTCCCAGAAGCATTAGAAGAGAGCTAGATGGGAAGTGGAGCAGCCGGGACTCAAACTAGCTCCCATATAGGATGCCAGTATTGCAGGAAGCAGCTTTACCCACCACACCACAGTGCCAGCCCCAAAGCTAGAATTTTTTACTTGAGCAACTCTTACATTGCTGGAGCACTTAGAGAAAAATTTCACAAACTGATTTATTGTATTTCCATAGAGCAAATAATACATGAGATCTTTGTCCAGAGCACAAGGCACATCACAAGTCTAAGATTCACAAGAGGATGGAACATCTCTCCCTTGGTGAGTGTCTCTCCCTGTGGCCTGGAGGGCCCTGGAAAGTTTTCTTAGAAGACTGGAGGGGCTGGCGCTGTGGTGCAGCAGATTAAAACCCCAGCCTGCAGTGCTGACATCCTGTCAGGGGGGCCGGTTTGAGTCCTGGTTGCTCCATGCTGATCCAGCTCTCTGCTATGGGCTGAGAAAGCAGTAGAAGATGGCCAAAGTCCTTGGGCCCCTGCACCCGTGTGGGAGACCCAGAAGAAGCTCCTGGCTCCTGGTTTCGGATCAGTGCAGCCCCAGCTGTTGCAGCCATCTGGGGAGTGAACCAGCGGATGGAAGGCACCCCCCCCCCCCCCCCCGGTCTCTACCTCTCTGTAACTCTGCCTTTCAAATAAATAAATCTTAAAAAAAAAAAAAAGAAAAAAAAAAAGAAACATGAGTTGGGCTAGGATGGAAAGGATTTCAAAAAAAAAGGACAAGGAGGAAGAAGCTATGTAATACAAAGCCAAGTGCCCTGGTATCAGTCTAGGGAAGCCTGCAGCATGCTCTGGGAGGCACTAAGCCTGTGCATCTCGGAGCAGTGGAGCCTGTGTGGGGAATCATCAGAACCAATACTGAAGCAGAGACAGTGTAGACTGTAGGAGTCCAACTTCCTGAGTTCACTTCGTAGCTTCTGTACCTATTGCTGTGTGACTATGTGTGAGACTTAATCACTTAAGCTTTCATTTTTGCATCTGTGAAGAGTTAGTAGTAAATCCCACTGGATTCAGGTGTAATGAGAGTGGAAGTAATGCATTTCATGCAGCTAATTAACATTAGGCTTGTAGTCAGTGTTCAATAAATATGACTATCATTGTTAGCCTCCACAGATGCTTGTGGATGCAAGACTTGGGTGTCTTGTGGGACAGAGAGCCATTATTGTATGCTGGGGTGTGGCCCACTGCATTGTTTCCCAGGGTGCTGCAACAAACTGCGACACACTCAGTGGTTTATAGCAGGGCCATGCGCTGCCTGAAGCCTCAGAGGAAGATCCTTCCTGCTGCTTTCTAGCTCTGGGTAGTTCCCGGCATTCCGGTCTGACTTGTAGCTGCCCTTTCTTCACTGGCCTATTTCTCTGTGTATGTCTTCTGTTAGAATGATACCAGGGCCTACCCTTAATTCTCTCCTTAATGAAATCTGCAAAGACCAAATTTCCAAATAAGGTCTCATTCTGAGATTGCAGGAGGACATGGATTTGGGGGGGATACTGTTCAACCCACTGTAGTGATGTAAGAAAATATTCAAAGAAACCAAGGAAAACATCTTTAGAAACTTATTTTGAAATAATTTAAGACTTATAAACAAGTTGCAAAAACTGTCAAAGAATTCATGTATATCCTTCACCAATATTAACGGTTTACCACATGTGGTTCGTCACTCACTCTGTGTGTAATATCTTCCCTGATGTTTTAGGGTAGGTTGCAGTCATGATGCCCGTATACCTGTGAATGCTTCAGTATCTATTCCCTGAAAACGAGGATATTACCCTATTTATTTATTTTTAAGGATTTTATTTATTTATTTGAGAGGTAGAGTTACAGACAGTGAGAGGGAGAGACAGAAAGGTCCTCCTTCCACTGGTTCACTCCCCAAATGGCCGCAATGGCCGGAGCTGTGCTGATCTGAAGCCAGGAGCTGGGAGCTTCTTCTAGGTCTCCCACATGGGCTCAGGGGCCAAAGGACTTGGGCCATCTTCTACTGCTTTCCCATGCCATAGCAGAGAGCTGGATTGGAAGTAGAGCAGCTGGAACTAGAACTGGCACCCACATGGGATGCTGGCGCTGCAGGCAGAGGATTAACCTACTGCACCACAGTGCCGGCCCCAACCCTACATTTTTATAATATAATCTTTCTTTCCTCCCTCCCTTGTTTTATTTATTTGAAAGGTAGTGTGATGGAGGGAGGGAGAAACAAGGATGGATCTCCTGTCTACTGGGTCACTCCCCAAATGCCCACGACAGATAGGGCTGGGCCAGACTGAAGCCAGGAGCCTGGAATTCCATCCAGGCCTCCCATGTGGTGGCAGAGACCCAAGTACTTGAGCCGTCATGCAGTGGCTTCCCAGGCACAACAACAGCAAATTGGGTCAGAAGCAGAGTGGCCAGCACTTTAGTACAAGATGACTTAATCTGCTGCACTGCAGTGTTTGAGAGGCAGATGAAGAGAAAAGCTCACATCTGCTGGTTTATTCCTCAAATGCCTACAGTGGCCAGGGCTGGGCTAGGCTGAAGCCAGGAGCTAAGAACTCAACCCAAGTCTCCCACATGGCTGGCACAGACCCAACTACTGAAGCCATCACCGTTGCCTCCCAGGGTGTGCATTGAATGTAAACGAGTGGTTTTATAGAATGTCCCTTAATTTTGGTTTATCCAGGATTTTCTTGTAATTGGATTCAGTTTTCTGTTTTTTGCAGGAAGTGAGGTTGTGTCCTCAGCGCATCAAATTAGGAGGCACCTGATGTCGATTTGTTCCCTTTACTGAGTGTTAACTTTTAATCTGTGGTTAAAGGTGCTGTCTGCCTAAGGGGCTGTCTGCTGGAACACTCTACTAAAATGCTACGATTTTGCCCTTTGTGAATTACAGGAATCTTAAGTGGGAGGTACTTTAAGATCATATAAATATGTTTTTAAAATACTACGTCTGCCTACTAATTTTAGTATACTTTGATGGTCTTTGCCTGAATTATTTTGAAATTCAGGTATTTATTCTACCTGTATCCATTGGAATCTCACCGTAAGAAAGAGCTTTTTGTCTTCTCCCTCATTTATTAATTTGTTGACCAAGGCTGGCGCCGCGGCTCACTAGGCTAATCTTCCACCTGCGGCGCCAGCACACCAGGTTCTAGTCCCGGTTGGGGTGCCGGATTCTGTCCTGGTTGCCCCTCTTCCAGGCCAGCTCTCTGCTGTGGCCCGGGAGTGCAGTGGAGGATGACCCAAGTGCTTGGGCCCTGCACCCCATGGGAGACCAGGAAAAGCACCTGACTCCTGGCTCCTGCCTTCGAATCAGCGCGGTGTGCCAACCACAACACGCTGGCCACAGCAGCCATTGGGGGATGAACCAACGGAAAAGGAAGACCTTTTTCTCTGTCTCTCTCTCTCACTGTCCACTCTGCCTGTCCAAAAAAAATAAATAAATAAATAAAATAAAATAAAATAAAAATTTGTTGACCAGTTTACACTCATTCTATTGAGTTATAATCCATTAAAGACTTATATTTTGTTTGAAAGTCAGAATTACAGAGACAGGAGGAGAGTCAGAGAGAGAGAGAGAGAGAGAGAATCTTCCATTCACTGCTTTACTCCGCCAGGTGACCGCAATGGCCAGGGCTGGCCAAGGCCAAAGCCAGAAGCCAGGAGCTTCTTCCATGTCTCCCACATGGGTGCAGGGGCCCAAGCACAAAGGACCGTCGTTCACTGCCTTTCTAGATGCATTAGCAGGAAGCAACAGAGACTTGAACCAGTGCTCCGATATGGAATTCCTGCATTGCAGGCAGCGGCTTAACCTGCTGCATCACAACGCTGGCCCCAAGATGAACATTTTAAAGACTTCTTTCCCTGTTGTGACTTTCTAAAACATTCACACCATTTGTGCTTCCTCTAGGTGTGTTTAGCCAGCTCTTTGGGAGCATCAGCACTGGCTTCAGAGAGCATGAAGTGACTTTTAGATTCACAGTGACTACACTGCCAATGCATAGGGCTTCTCTTGGCTGCAGTTTCCAGACAACTGTTTTTCCCCTCCACGACAAATCTCCATGCAAGATCAGTTCCCTGCTCTGGCGATCTGCCCTTTCTGTAGTTTGCAATATAAGCCAGCAATAAGCACTTCTGCCACTAGAGGCCACTGTTTGGTTACATGTGATCTCTCTCCAAGTTTCCTTTCAGAAAGCTGATCCCCAAGCCTTATTCTGAACACAATAAGAACTTGTGTTTACAAAGGAATGCCAGCAGTTTTATATATGCCCAATTAAGCCTCATTTAGGCCCTTGACTCAGACTTGAACCCTTGATAAGAACTCTAAAGGTGCATGCCTTTGCTAAATTCTGCTGGCAGAAGAATAAAGATAGCAACAGCCCTATTTGTATAAGCACTACACACCAGATGCCATTCTGTTTCACAATTACTAACTCGTTTTACATCTTTCGGAAGCCAGTGGTGGGAGAAATAGGTTGTGATAAAGTATCCACACAACAGGATGGGAGTCATCAGGTCTTTCAGAGCTCCACGTGGGGGCTCCTGGGAACTTGCCTAGTTGGCCTGCAGACACCCACGCCTTAGCCTTGTCTGCTCTTGGTGGTTGCAAGCTAGCCAGGTCTTGAGATCAATCCCAGTACCCTTGGGGCTCCATCCCCTCCCTATTCAGGGCTGTGCTTGGAGAGCCGGAGGGCATCTGCTTTGCCCTGCTTGGCCTTTGCTTCCTGGAAGTAGAACTGATTGTTTTGGAGACTGCTTCCAGTTAAGTCTCAAGGTCCCTGACCGGGTTGGAGACTGCTGCTCCTAGCGAGCGGTGGAGGACGGGGCGTGGGTTTTGGAGTTAGGCTATCTGGCCCTCCTACTCTGACCACGCTGAGAACTGCTCAGCTCCTCAGAGGCTCAGTCTCTGCCTGTGTGTGTGAAGAAGGTTGGGCTCCTCCCTAGTGTGGTGAGAAACTGTAACATATGTAGAGAGACCCTGGAACAGAATGGGGGGGGGGGTACTCGATACATTTGTTATTCTCACTTCCTTAAAGTGCAGCCTAATTCCTAGCAATCAGAAAAGCTGACCCCCACCCCCCCAACAAGACCTTGGTGGAGGGAGTCCTCCCGCAGCCTGTGTTGTCCCCTGAGGAATTAAGACATACCTCTGGGTGCTGCCGGTGTGGTGTCTTGTGCCTGGCCTATTTCTGCAACTAAACTCCAGAGCCCAGACTGTCCCTGTCAATTGTTTATATCCTGAGTCTTTACCAGGGAGCCAAAACAGTTAAGTGCGCAGTGAATGACTGTTGGTGGCCGAGATGAACTGAAGTGGGTTCACAGATATTTATGGGGCATTTACAGTGTGTCAGGCACAGAGAACATTGAGATCAAGGCCAGCCAGCCCCCTGGAAGCTCCTGATGTGGTGAACACTTTCCCGAGAGGCCTGAAGTGCTTAATGTCCTTTTCCTCGCATCTGACTCCCAGGGAGTGACTTTCTTGGGGCAGTCGGGTTCACCGTGTCTCAACCAAGAATCAAATGCCAAGTGCACAACCCAGAGCATTTTCACATTGGAAAGGACGTAACATGGCGTTTAGTGCCCAAGAACCCTGGGGCCATTCAGGACCTGACAGGCTGTTCCCACCACGCACTTGCACTCGGGAGCTCAGCAGCTCCTGTTCCCATCAGGGTGCAAGCTGGGGAGGTGGCAGGCCGTCCCCCACACTCCCTTCACCATGAGCGGTAAGTGCGAGACCGAGGCTGAACCCTGGTGAGGGCCGGACTCCCTCGGTGAGTCATTCTAGCAATACTGTCTCTGCATGATTTGCTCTTGGGGTGGAGTGGATGCAAGGCGAGAGCATGGGCCACACAAAACGAAACCATCTGTTGGATTCACAAGTGGCCACAAGTCATCAGTTCAACCAGTGTTCAACTGACGTTTAAGTGTTTTTAGCACAAGAAATAACGTAATTTGGGGGTTTCAGAGAACAAGTGCTGTCTGGAAACCAAGAGGATCATTGAAGGAATCCTGTGCATTGGCAAAAGCTTTACTCTTTCATGTGGAAAACCAAAATGACTTTTTTTTTTCCAGGAAAAGGAAGGCTTTCAGAAGTTAAACTCAGTTTACTGACTAAACCCCCTGTGCAACACAATAAAAAATAAAATCTCTTATCTGGCTTCAGAACTGGCAAGCAACTGTGGTGGGGAGCACTTCCTAAATATTCATTGATGATGAACGTGTGGACAGGCGAAAGAACCGTGTCGCCATTTCAGGAGGCCGTGGGAGACGCTGGTGATGGAAGCAGGACCTTAACTAGCTCTTGCAAATTGCGGCCCATTCAGCTGGTCACAGTGGACTCGAACAAGGGCCTGCAGTCTGGACTGGGACTGCTCTTAGGAAGAGCAGAGCAAACTGCAGCACTGGGCGGGGTGTTTAAACAACCAACTCCCCAGAACGTCAAAGCTGATGAGACTCAGTGACTCCACCCTGTGGGAGGAAAACAAAAACAAAAACCCATCCTGTTTCACTCTGCGTTGGAAGCAAGGCGACGGCCATAAACAGAACCGGTTAAAGTGGGAGCGGGGTGTGTGGCGGTTCATTTGGGTCGCACTGACCATCACAGTCAAGGCGCATCAGTTGAGCTGGGGCACACTGGGAGAGAACAGTGAGACCAGAGCCTGGGGATGGTGCCCGGGCAAGGTCTGCTTGTTTTGGCCTGGGTGCCCCTGGCCTCGGCCCATGCGATCTCGATAATAGAAATGAATGCCCCTCAATAACCCTTCCCCTTGCAGCCTGTGCTGGTGAGGCTGCATTGTGGCTGAACTGTGCCAGGATGGCTTGGAGGCTTTCCATCAGACCCGTGCTAGGGCTGGCCCTACGGAGGCCTCCTCCCGCTTCTAAGAAACGCTTTCCATTTGCTGGTGCCTGACTCAGACCAGGGCACGGGTGGGGCAGCCACGGGGCATGGGTGTGGGCCTGGACTATCTTAGCAATGCCACCTCTTGCCCACCCCAGCATCCACCCCTGAGGCACCGCAACCACCAGTGAGTGGCTGTCAAACTGACTCAGTGCCGGAGGGTCATCAGGGGCGTGCCGCCTCTCCTTCCCGGTGCTGGCCACTCCTCTGTGCTTTGTCTAGTGACACATGCTCCGTGGGCATCTTCCCCAGGTTAGCCTTTCATTGTGACGCAAGGGGTACGTAGGAGCTAAAGCCTCGATATGGACTCATGCCTCCCGAGCAGCAGAGTGGCACCTTAGCATGCAGAACAGGACCCGGGAGAACCAGAACTTGCCCACAGCTTTGGTGCACTGACCGTCTGCCTCCTGGGCACACCCCTTCCTGGTCTAGCGCTCCCTGCACCTCCTGCTGCTGAGCTCACCACACCTCCCCTCCTGCTGCTGATTCCTCAGATACTGACGGAACACTTCCTGTGCGGACAGAGGAAGGCTGTACCTGTCTCCTCACTCGCAGAAAAGGCCAGGAAAGCAAGCACGAGAGCCTAGTCCGTGCTCTCTGCTGCAGCCTTGGGGGTGCCGTCCCGTCTCATGCCTGGGGGGACGCCTCATTAGTCCAGTGACCAGCAGGGTGTGGAGGTTGGACGCAGGGCAGTGGGAACCACCACTGGACTTCCACGTCCACTTGGCTGCTCACTCGTGATGTGTCCTCTGCACGGGCCAACTGGGAATTGGGCCGTTGTGAGCACTATATGAGGAAATGCTAGGTTATTAGCAATGATATGTCAGAGAGGAGAGAACAGCAGCCTGGTGCCCACACAGGCTCACTGGATTCTTCTGATTTCACAGTGCTTCCCTGGCTGCAGGCCAGAGCCTTCAGGAAGTCACAGAGCTGTGTGTGGGAGGGAATTTGAGGAGGCGCCTGGGTCCCGTGGGGGCTCCCGGACTCAGGGTTGCCAGGTACCAGCAACGGCCCTAGCAGGCAAAGACCAGGTGAGCCGGACTCTAACCTCTGCTCCACCTCGCCACGCCCCCATCACCATCCTAGAAGCTGGGTGGTTTTCTGTGCAAATGTAGCCGAGGTGGAATTGAAACCCAGGTCACCCTGGCTCTAAGCCCTTCTCTGCACAGCTGCCCAGATGTGCGTGGCGGCCGCCCGAGGCCAGAGGGACTGACGCAGTCGTGACTTGGCCTTTGTGTGCAGTGGAGGGCGGGGTACACAAGGGGCAGTTCTGGGCGCAGGCAAAGCTCTGTGACTCAGCGATCGGATCTCTCAGGTGATGGAAGACCACAGGCACGCACCCAAGACGGCGCTGGGGACTTCTTCCGCCCCAAAGCAGAGAAGCGTCCAGAAGTGTCCCTGGCCAGGCAAGCTCTAGTTTCGTGGGTGTGACATATGCTGGAGCTCTCAGCGTGCCCTGAATATGTTCTCTGCTAATGAGCTTTGGGATCTTGGGCAAGACTCTTAAACCTCTGAACCTCATTTATTCCATGTGTTTGTGTAAAACAAGGCAAATAATCCTGACCTCACGAGGTCTTTGCGATGGTTAACGAGATGATGTGTGTGATCGATACAAGGGATGTTTATGAAATGGGAGTTTCTGGGGCCAGCACTGCGGGTAGCGGCTAAAGACACCACCTGCAGTGCGGCATCCCATATGGGCGCTGATTCGAGCTCCAGCTGCTCCACTTTCGATCCAGATCCCTGCTATGGCCTGGGAAAGCAGTAGAAGATGGCCCAGGTCCTGGCTTCAGAACTGCCCAACTCCAGCCGTTGTGGCCATTTGAGGAGTGAACCAGCAGATGGAAGAACTCTGTCTCTCTGTCTCTCTCTCTGATTCTGCATCTCTGTAACTCTATCAAACAAATAAATTTGAAAAAAAAAAATGTGCGTTTTGTAAGAGCGTGTTCTGACCTGAGTGTGGTTCATTGTCGTGCTTCGGGCTTCACTCAAGCAAGACGGACAGGTGGCACCAAGTGGACAGCACCCTCCTCAGCCCCACCGTTCTCCGCCCACGCTGGTGCTGAGGGGAGAGAGACGGAAAGGCTCTGCAGCCCAGAACCTGCCCGGGGCTGGAGCGGGGCCTCTCCGCGGGTCCGGGTGCATGGTGACTAGATGGTGGCCCCTGGGTCCGGTTCTGCCGCATTTGCTCCCTGCCGCGCGTACTTCCTCCTGGCGCTGCCAGGATGGGGGCCCACCCGGTGTGGAACTCAGAAACTGCGAGGTTTGACGTCAGAACCTGGGTTCCAGCTCTTCCCTCCTCGCGGCATGTGACCTGGGACCCCGAGTTCCTCATGGGGAACTAAGGACAGTCCCCCCGCCCAGGGCTGAGGGGAGCAGCCCACGAGGCCACACGAGGCAGACACGAACATAGTCCCCGAGTGCTCGCCTCTAACACACGCCTTGCAGCCGCGAGGGGCCCGAGGAGCGGCCGATGTGCCGGCTGGGCCCTGCTTGGGCCCTTTCGGCGAGACCCGGGCAGGCGGCGGCTCCGAGGGCTCAGAGGAGCCGCCAGCGGCCGGGCGGCCACCAAGGCCTCCCACCTTGGTTCCAAGGTCCGCATCGTGCACTTTTGCCTCCATGGGCCCTTTCCTCGGTCAAAAAAATATAGTTAATTTATACGTTGCACTACAATATAAAAACGAAAAGAATAGGGCTGGACCATTACTATGTATTGTTATTCATTACTTTCGTTATTTAAAATTTTCTTATGATTTGAACGGAAATGACTGGTGAGGAGCAGTTTGGCCACTAGGGGGCGGCACGAGGTCACGAATGTTTATGGGAAATGAGGTCGGGGGTGCAACCGGCACCTCCAGCTTCGCCCAGCGTCTCCTCGGAGAGTGTAATGTTTGCTTCTCACAACATCAGGCTCAGGAAGCCGGCGGATGGGGTGGGGCTCACTGCTCCACTCAGGGGCCAGGGAAGGGGCTCCCCGCGGCAGAGGCGGGCTGTCAGACTCTCCCCGGCTGCTCCTCCCTCCAAGGCAGGTGGCGACTCCGAGGGGTCAGCTCTGAGGTCGCCGCGCCGGCTCCGGAACCACCGCCGGGGGGCAGCAGCCCTGCAGCCCCCGCTGCGGGCGCGGCGCGGCCTTCAGCAGCCCGGCGGGGAGGGCCGGCACATTCCGCGCCAGCCCCTGCCCCAGCCTCCCTCGGGGCCAAGCATGCCTTTGTTCACGCGCTCCCTGGACCACGTGCGTGAGCCGGGTGGATGGGAGGGTGGGCGCCACGCTCGGCCCCTCCCCGGGGCACTGCACAGGCACATCCAAGGCACACAAAAGGCTATTCACCGCGCCACGAGGATTGCAAGAAAAAGTGCCTCCGGACGGAGCGCCTGAGTGCCCAGCAAGGTGGCAAGGCAGAGAGGCCGCAAACCCAACCAAACACCAGGCAGGTCCCGATCCGATCTCGGGCCGGGCCGGGCCTGGCAGCGGGGAACAGCAGGCCTTTCTCTCTCCACCCTCACCCCCGCAGCTGAGCACACACCCCGTCTCCTCTCCGGAAGGCCAAGTGTGTTTACAGCACAGATACCTGTATTCAGTCCACAAAGGTGAGGGCGGTGCCCACACTCACACGTGAAAAAAAGAAAAAGAATTTCCTTGCAGAATGAGGGCTCATGTTTAAGGAAACGGACGATTCCAAGTGGAGCTGAAGGGGATGTGGCAAGAGGTGACGACCTGAGGTGTGGGAATAAGCAGCCTTGGCAAGGTGAGGGCGGGCCAGAGGCAGGGGAGATGCCTCACAGAGCGGCCTCAGAGCAGAGAGGTGGCGGTGGGACGGGGGTGGGGGTGGGGGTGGGGGACGCAGCTGCTCCAGGGGCCAGGGTGCCGGCCACCCGCGGAGCAGCGCCCTCCAGTCCCGCCCCCTGGCACACGGCTTGACCTCAGCGCTGCTCTGGCGCCCGGCCTGACTGTCACATGGCTGAGGAATGAGAGTCACAGTTCAGTTGCTGTTCTCCACCGGCCCAGCCCTGACGCCCTGCGGGATTGGTGAGTGGAGGCGGTAGTCCAGTCTACACTGCAAGGAGAGAGACTGAGAACCCGGATGGAGAAGAGAGGAGGCTCTGGCTTGGAACCAGATTGCCCATACTGGGCGCTGTCTGCTCCGTAGTACCCTGGGCGGGGGTGGATGGCGGGCCAAGTACGTGGGCCCCTGCCCCCCATGTGGGAGACCTGGGTGGCGTTCCTGGGCTCTTGGCTTCAGCCTGGCCCTGCCCCGGCTGTGGTGCCCTCTAGGGAGTGAACCAGCTGATGAAGATCTCCCCGCACACTCTATCTCTGTCTTTCCAATAACTCGTTTTTTAGAAGAGGAAGGGAAGGGAGCCCTTGGTAGGATGCATTCCTGAGGCTTGGATTCAGCACCTTCCTGGGAGGTCAGACAGGGTGGCGTCAAGCCAGGACTTTTCCCAGGCTGAGCCCAGCTGAGCGCTGCCGCACGATGGCTGATTCCAGGACAGAAGAGGGTTTGAGGCTGCAGCCCCTCATCCTGGCCCTGGGGAGGACTTGGGGGGCAAATACAGTCCAACCCCAACAAGACCAAAGAGACAGTGCGACCTGCAGCCCGCCCCACAGCTGGCCCAGGACAAACGCAGGAAGCCCTGATTCCCCAGTTCATGGCCCGAA